GCGTAGCTATTGCTTGTCAGTGGGAGAGAATTGTATAGTTAACTAACCAATGCGCCCCTCACCCCCCCAATTGGAACAGAGTGCTCAATTATTAATAATATGCAACGCAAGTGTTCACCCCTCACCAAAGCATTTTCGTGTGTAGCGGCTTTCAACTACCTACCTAGGTACAATACCTGAGTGGTGAACAGTTAGTTAGCGGCATTCGGTTATTTTAGTTAGCCGGCCTCAACAACTAACTATTTCGCGACCACTCAGGGCAACGCTTTTTTGCCTCTCGTGCGCTGGAGTCATATAAGGAGAATGTAGAAGGGGGATAACTATCTTTGTTTGACGATTTTGCGTGGGTTTAATATTGAATGAGATGCTTCTTCTCAGCTCTAGCTCATCCTCTCTAACCAACCTCTCGGCAATCAACTCATGTCTTTGCCGGAACTAGGTTGCAAAAAACTTATTTTGCCCCTCCCACTAGTTAACCCTCCCACCAACGAAGAATAAGGGGTACAGGAAAAGAAAAAGAATTTGCTTCCTGTCATCGTATTTACCTTTCATTAACCACAGGCACACATTCTTTTCCATTTTCTGTTGTTCTATAAGCGCCATGTTCACTCAACGATTGGACAGTATTTTCCCGCGGCTGCACCTCTCTGCTACCACCTCTCTCGCACTCATCTACATCCTCTGTCTCTCACCCATATTCCTTCTCTTGTACTTGGAACTTTGGAGTCGTCGCGCAGCAGCCCGCGAACCCAAGGGATGTCGAAAATTGGGATTGCATAAGTTCTCGAACCTCAATGATGAGGATAATTATGACACGAATGGAAGACGGAAGAGGAGGCAGAACCAGAAGAATGATGCAGTGAAAGGGAAAATTCGTATAAAGGCCCTGCTAGCGTATCCTATCAAGAGCTGTGCTGGTGTTGAATTCAATATTGCCCAATTTGTGAGTACGGGCATGGCATATGACCGCCAATTCTGCTTTGCGGAGTATATGGAGACTACAGCAGCAGCAGCAGCAGCACCAGCTGGTGCTGCTGCTGCTGCTGCTGTGGCTCACGCTAGGAAACAACAAGATAAACCAACAGGGCAATGGATATGCCGCACGATGCGCGATGGGAAGTATTCCAGAATGGCCCTGATCCGACCGGAGATCTGGGTTCCCGACCCTTCATCGCGCTCGTACTCAGTAAATCACCCAGATGTTCTCTCCAAAGGTGTTCTGGTAATAAACTATCCTCGTACCCCAAGCGGCACGGGTCTGTCATCTCTATTGATATCCATCGGAATGAAGTTGGGTCTCTGCTCGCGGGAAGAATCCTTCCATGTACCCCTCCACCCACCGCCATCAAATAGCAAAACAAGTACATATCCTTATCGCCCGGTGCGTATCTGGAAAGACAACCCAATGGCCGTCGACTACGGAAAGCATATCCCGCCGTCTCTAATTACGTTTCTCGAACCCTCAAGACCACTCACTCTTTTCCGAGTCGATCCAGAGCATCGTCGGAATGTTTTCCGCTGCGCACCGCGCAAGGAGGCTCTAGGTTTTCAACCTACCACGGGGTTTGCGGATGCATACCCGCTGCACATGTTGGGACTGGCCAGCGTGCGAGAGATCGCGGAGCGGACGAGCCATGCTATTCCCAAGTTTTCAGTGCGTCGATTCCGGCCGAACATTGTTATTGAGGGGAGCAAGGCATTTGAAGAAGATTCTTGGAAACTAGTACGGTTTGTGTCCGGGCGTGGGAATAGTAAAAGCCAATTGCTCAATGGGCAACTGGAAACCCAGCACCGCAGAAATCAAGGCGGCATTATGGCAGAGATTCCCGATGATAAGCAACCCCACAGTCGCAAGGATGGAGATGGGGGGGTAGAGGTATACACGTCATGTCGGACAGTCCGGTGCCGGTTACCCAACGTAGACCCGAACACTGGTTTGAGACATAGAGTTGAGCCGGATAAAACGCTAAAGAGCTTCCGGTGTATTGATCCTGGAGATCCCAGCAATGCATGTTTGGGGATGCAGTGCGTTCCTGCTGTGCAAGGTGTGTTCCTTTTCGTCTTGCTATTTGAGTTGGTTTTGGGTACCCCTGAATTAGAATGGAACTGCTATTTTCGGAACTCATCATACAAGTTTTTCTCCCCAAAAGTATATTTGACTCCCTCATGGGATGGATATTTTTCAATAGCTTAACGATGTATACACAGAATTTACCCTCCGTGTCGGGGACGAGCTTGAAGTTCTCGAAACGGGCGAGCATTTCTATATCAAGCAGTGAATGGGATAATAAAGGGAACCAGGGAGAGGGAATAGACACCTTGGAAAAGGGAAGCAAGAAACAGGATGTCCATGCATTCTAGCCCATACTTCGGTATTTTGATGCTTCGGTTCCTATGAAAGGCTATATTTCGTTCAATTTTCGCTATACTATAGGGATAGTGGATTTTGTTCGGATCATATAATTGCCTCTTGAGTGCTTCAGACCCAGAGAACTGTATCAAATAAACCAGATGATATCATTAATGTTTATGGTTTTATGGAAATATTGAGGTACCTTGAAAGTCAGGAATATGTGATTGGGAAGAAAGAATCAGGAGTCAGATGAAAATTGTTTCCAAAACTCACAAATATTAGGGATGTGTTTGTCTTGTTGTTGACACCGGTGTACAGGTGTGCAAATAGAGGTAGATCCTTCTCAAGTCCGTTATGTCAAGGAAATAGAAAAATTCCCATAAAATAAAATGATGATGCATGAAGAAGATCGACTTCCATATGCAATAAATACCAAATACTGAAATGATAGGAAAACCTTTTAAAAATGGCCATAGAAAGCACCAAATGAACCTTAATACATCAGGGTGCAAAACAGGGGTCAGCATTGATCGGAAAGACAGAAACCAGGGAAGCAACTGAAACACATCCATTCAATATTCAACTTCCAACACCTTATAAAAACAGGGGGAAACAGCAAAAGCAAAACATAAATATGAGTCCTGACCAAACAAAGGGTATGTCATCTAGGGGGCGAAACCTCTAGCAAAGTACATAGCAGTTTGCCAAAGAGAAAAATGGAAGCACAAAAAGGAAAATACTGCTATTCGACCGCCTCCATATCACGGCTGGAACCTCAGACGAAACTCATGACCCTTCCCCTCCTCGCGAACCTTATACAAGAACCTTGCAATAGCATCCTGCTCTACAAGGCCAACGTTATTGAAATGTTTCCTCACCGCCGTGGCAAGGTGGTCCTTCGTTACCCTTCCTTGACCGCGAAATGTCGAAATGCCATTCAGGTCCATGCCAGCAACGCCTCTACTGCTCTCTAGGTCCATAACATTGCTAACTCCGCTTCCACTAGCGGCAACCGCAGTATTGTTAGTGTTATCGTCCTTTTTCGAAGGTCGTGAAGCGTTTGCATCATTCGCGGCTTTGCGCCGTGCAGAGAGCTGGGCCCGTCGAGCGGCGATTGTTGTAGGGGAACGGAGGCCAATCCCTTGATTCAGGATGATGGAGGATATTTGTGAGGAGGATGAGCTGGGGCAGGGAAGGTTATAGGCATGTCGGTATTGGTGGAGGACAGAAAGTGGCATGCTTGACCAATTGATCTGTGAAATGAATGGTTTTGGAGTTAGTATTGTTTGGGTTTATCGGGGGTTGAAAAAATGGTCGTGCCAATTGGAGGGGAATTGTTGTGCCTCTCTCCTCAAAGAATAGGCCTTTCTCTGTTTGAGATATAGAGCTGGAGGAGGTATAATAAATAAAATAAACACTGAAAATAACAGCGGATTATTTACCCCAGATGGCTCCCCGGAATGATCAGGTTCAGCATTTTGGCCGCCTGTCGTAGCGGTGGTAGCTGCACTTGCTTTAAGGTCCTTGGAAGAAATTGGGTTACTGGTTGCAGCGGCGTTGACTGCTCTGCGGCCCTTCGTGCCGGTGGGATGCCGTTCTCTCGTACCGCTGGAGGCTTCTGATCTCGAGTCGTCAAGGTTAGCCGTGGTCCGTTGACGAGGAGCCATGATGTGATGCTGAATCGGCTGGTGATATCAGGGAGAATATCATGTAAATAAAATGCTGGAGAAACAAACGAAACATCCGGGTATCATGGTGACAGACAAGTTAAGTCAACGCTTATTTCATCCCATGAACGCCATATTCAAGGCTGTCCTTGCAGATAATTGCATACATTGCAAGCCAATCTTGCCCTTCACCGACTGTTGACTCCTGGGGAATCGAATGCATCATAGGGCGGTGAGACATGGCATAATATTATAGATTGGCTCTAGTCCTAAAAAGGCTAGAATAGGGCCATGAAGTAACTCTAAATTGCGGATGAACTTTAAATCCGGGATACGCTATACCCCATTGGGGCGGTTTGGATGCCAAACGCCAAGCAATTGACTTGACTATGACGCAAAGAGCAATTTCAAAACAATCATCCAAAACCGGCAAATCTATGTATGCATTTATGAGGTGAAGATAGGTCAAGTTTCTTCGCAAACCTGTGGACAATGCATATGAATGAGGGAGCCGGGGAATCCAATTACATCTGAATGGCACAGAACACAAGAAATAGCAGTATGCGTGATGGTTCACTATATAACTAATCTTACAATCTTACAATCTTACTACTGCATTCCCTGGTTGCGCTGCATATTGGCTCCAGCTACATTTTCGCAGTTCCAACCGGAGGAGCCTGGCGCAACTTGTCTTCTGGGATCCTTATGATCCCCGCTGCCGTCAGATTGGGAGCTTCTATGGGATTAGAGAGTAGGAAATGGTCACCATGGCTTGCATCAGCTATTCTTTTCCTTTCCAGGTGAATCGTTTTCGAATGCTAATCAGATGCCAGCGGACGCCAATTTACCAATCTGATCACAAGCCCATGTTTGTGTTTGCTTATTCCATTTCGTCGCACAGCGGGATGAACAGCATCAAAGGATAACAGCAGTCTATTCCATTCCCCATAGGAGAGTCATATGTATGATTTATGCGCACTATGACCTTCATACGGGTGGAAACCCAACATACGAGTCTATCGTTGGGGATGTTTGGTTTCTCAGGTATCCGCTCACCGCCTCAAACTCCGTATCTCCCCAGCCACATTGTCCTGCTGCCAGAAAGGGGGCATAAAGGACCAAAAACAAAGCCCTGTCCAAAGCTCCCATGCAAGATGCAATGCAAATGCAAGAAGAGAGAGCCGTGCTTCCGCCTCACGGGAAGTTTCGGGAGATCCTCGGTATTTGTGGAGTGGGGTTAGGGTTTTTTTTTTTTTGTTTTTTTTTTTGTTTCTTGAAAATGATTTAAGTTTGCGTACTCGTATTAATGGAGAGTGCAAAAAGGGGAAATGTACATGCATGGCTGTCAGAGAGGAAAAGATTCCCGGGAAAGAAAATCTTTCTTATCCCCTTATTATTGGTTTTTTTTTTTTTTACTTCTCCTTCTTCAGCTGGAATGTATACCCACCAGCACATCAACCCGCGCCCGACGCCTTTTAGCCGAGTGCCGGTACCGTCTCTGGGTCCACATTGTGGAGTTGTGGAGAGGGTCTTGATACCATTGATTTTGAATTTTCATTATTTTCCCCATCATCATCCCCCATTTGCCTCCCCTTGACAAGCAAAGAAACACAAGGGAGTTTAGGAAAGAAGAGAGCGAATTGACACGCGCAGTGTATGTCTCGTACAACCCTTGTTGTTGTTGTTGTTGTTGCATACTGCATAGAGAAAATCACATTGCATTCGAGTTCCGTATTCAGGAGTAATAGGCTAACCCATCACCGCGAATGATTGATTACATCATTGTCTCCATGTGGCAGCTGCATGGTATTTCCAAGGTTTGTCAAAAGGGCCTAGATCAGAGCTGACCCAATACTCTGTATCTTGGAAGGGCTTTTCTTGGGTTTTCGCAACTGCAGATATCTCCCCCAAAAAGATATCTCCCCCGAAAATCACAGGCAGAGCTACGGAGGTTGCGATCTAAACCATCCAGGCATGGATCGGGAACGAAAATACAAAAAAAGAAGACAGAAATAACTAGTTCAACAGATGGATAAAAGTGGACCCGGCAATTAACTTTTATATTCAATATTTCAGTCCGAGGTCCCGGTTCATACCCCATGAATTCCAGTAGTTAGTTAGTTCATGGCTGGGTAGCATCGGAATGCACACACAGATACTATGACACATCCGCAGAAACATTAGTTAGCGGGCATATTGCGCTTGATGACTTTACATCCCCTGCCTGGGTACGTGATTGTTACTACCAAAAGTGGTTCAGAAGCAATCAAGGAATCATATTTAACCTTCCAATACTCCTAGTGGCAGGAATTTCCGGTCCCGCCTCATTCATCCTCTCACCGTCACGCTGGTCCTCGGAGCTTCTAGTCTTTCCAAATAATTCGAATTATCAGGAGCCCGGGAGGGGCCGCGAGTGGAAGGATTTGGGTGGAGAGAGGAATGGTGGAGATGACAAGCGTCGAGTCGCCGATTTTTTCGGCTAACCCCAGAGCAAATCACCAACTGTATAGTAATCAACTGCCATAATTTTTACCACCGTCCCCCTTCTTGAGTAGTATCCTAAACTGAAATCAGAAACGACGATTTCTATCTACAATAACAGATTATCCTATCAATCTCGGTTTGTGGTGATAGTTATAACCGAGGTGTTGACAACGAAAATAATCCATGACTCTCCTTTTTTTACCTTAGGTTTTCCGAATTATCAAACCTGTGAAGAAAGACAAAGAAAGCATAACAAGAATCCGGTAAGCATTGCGCCTAATTCTTTACTTGATTTATCAATTGCTGTTGTTTGCTGCCTTTGAATTCATCAATGATGAGGTTCCCAGATATGAAACAAAAGCTTGCGACTGTTGGAGTATCAAGTTATCATGCAGCGTTGTTGCCAGCCGGAGAACCCTCGGCTTCTTCCCTTCTCTTCCAAGGCCGAATCAACTGGAACATATCCCACACTCTCCTAGGTAGCTAGTTTATCCCAACGTGTTCCTGGCAGGTTCCCTAGCCAAGCCGGACCCCCCAAATCGCCACCAAAGCCACCCTTGCGGAGAAAGGAGGAAAGGGCCACATATTTTCTTCGTTCGATATCCACTTTGTCACGGAGTCTTGTTACCTCGATTTCATTTTATTTTAGCCATACGCCGTTTTGCAAATATTACACATCTGCTAATTACGGTGTTACATACAAACACTTGAGATATTTGTGCAATAGGAAACATCAGTCTCGCCGTCACCATCTCCAGTGGCAATTTCAAGATAGGAGAACACAAGGGATAACGGCAACATCTACGGGGTACATGAAAATGCATCATCCATGAATCAACCGGCCTCTCAGAAAGCTGTCTGTATGCACATGTGGCTCTAACTACTGGCCGGGTGGTTCACGGTATTCGGCCGCTAACTATTCCAGGAACTGGTTCAATTCTTTAAGTCCCGCTTACGAACACAGCATTTTCATGAAATAATAGGTGCTGAAATGCTCTGCCGTATACGATTCTCCAGCAAGGCAATGTGCATACCTAGCCACAGAAAGTCCAACTTCCTCAAGTCTGTCAGTTCTGCCAAAATAAAATTTAACAAATGGTGGGCCTGGCAAGTCATGCACAAATGCTTCGTGGTCGAAACAAGCATAATGGCAGCTGGCACACTGGATCGGGCTCTGATTGGGTACTTTGAGTTCAGAGTTCAGCCTAGTCAGGGGAGCAAGACAAAAACTTTTGACCCTTTGATATCCAAGCTTCGTTCTTGAAGGAATAAAACGATTAGAGCTCCACAAGTTTATCGAAGTTCTCATAACCTCTCAACCTCTCAATTCTCGTTTTCGCCGTTAAAATAATGGAGTTGTTACGATTGCCAAATTTCACGGGCGAATTTCATTAATAAATAGGATGGATATTGGCATATGGTGATATATATTGATTTGGGTTTTGAGAGCAAACATAGTTATACTTCTCTCTAGCTGGTTTAAGGATATACCCCCCCATGTATTTCATGCCGTCATTGAAATAATAATAACATCATCGTGCTGCAAATGAAAATTCTGCTTTCCTCTCCGTGGACCTTATTCCTGCCCCATGAAACTTTGAAAACAACAGTAATAAAACTCCTCGGACGATCGGGCGGATGAACTGAATCCGTGATTGGCCAATGGATATTTTCCGCGTCTCCCCCATTCTGATCTAGGCCTGCTGTTTCGCGATGGAGCGGTCTGCAACGGATGTACGTACAGTGTTGAACATATCCATGGGGCTTATAACCAGGGTACTAGCCATACAAGTGATTTCCTTGTGTCCTTAGCTTGCGCTTCGTTTGGGTGCCGCACAGTTAACTAACTCGGGAGGCAATGCCTGCCTGTCGTTTCGCTTTCCTCATAACTTACATAGAAACAAAATATATACTTATAACTATAACTTAATGATATCAACCAACTCTTTTGTAACCTTGCAATATATCAAATATTATGTTTCATCTCACAATTATCTACATAAAAAATAAATACATAACTGCCATCCACAAATCAGCATTCAGCATTAGAAATACATATGCACACATACATTAATTACACTCTGAGAACCGGAGAATTAATACCATTTTAAGTCTTACCAATTGATCAGCATCTGTGCTGAGGTCCTCGCTGCCTAAGAATACTCTCCACACATCGCCATATTCAATGAACAGTATATATATTTATCTAGAGGAGTTGCAATTGAGGCATTGATGGACGCATATCTTTTAGGGATACGCATGTAATTGTATGAGGAAGAGATGAGATCGAGAGAATTACACAATGGCTTGCTTCACCTCGAGACTGTAAATTTTGATATACCTAATGTTTGCCAACATCGTTCTTATTCCCCTTCATACTTTTGCATAAGTTCTGCGATACGACTGCTAGCCTTAAAAATGATATCCTTGTAATCTACTAGTTTTGACATTGGCAGGGTACAATTTCAAACAACCCATACCTAAATTGATACAACAATATTGAAATATGGACTGGTCAAAAAGCTGGTGATAGGTATGTCAGTCAATGACTATTATATTTGTATCTATGATGCGTTGCAAAAAAGGCAGTGTGAAAATAGATCAAGATGCATTCATTCAAAACTTGCCCATAATCAAACATGATTGAGCAGGCTTCGACGGAGGTAATTCTGTGTGCAGCACCAACACACAGACTATGTCAATCTCTCCAAAGCTCAAGAAAACCTATGACAACGTCCATGAATGCTCACTTTACCATTCAAGCTATTTTAGTAAAGGCGTTTTTGCCTTGCAAGAAGAACAGCTCTTATTTTGCTTTTTGATGGTAGGAATATACTCATAACCTTGGTTGCAAAGGGAACGATTAAAATAATACTGTAGCCCATTTTAGTAGCGCATTAGTCGGGCAAGCTGTCCAGGCCACAGCTTGACAGCGGCATCCAGCTCCTTGTCCTAGACATCATAATTATAGTCCACCCTGCACGTCGGCCGATTCCTGTTTTGGTCGCACTCGGCAATTGTCACAGTTCCAAGTAGGACTTTTATCTTCTTTATCTCTTGGGCGACCGAGGTGTATATAAGTGGCTCTTAAGGAAAATCGAGTTGAACAAGAGAAAAGAAAATAATAATAATAATAAACAGAGAGAGAACGAAACAAAATAAGAGATGCTGAAGCTTGATAATCTGAACCTCAGCATCTTTACAATCATGTGAAAATGAATAAGATTATTCCCCTTCAAGAAGATTGTCTTGCAAAACTGAGTGGCAGGAAGCTTGTTCAAGCACAAGTCCTGCAGTTGTATCGTACACATCCATGTGTTACTACCTCAGCATGTAAGTAACTCTGTTCACAGCCATTTTCCGGGGCTTCTCCTGCAGCCCTCTCTGTAGATGCAGCTTTCGAAAGGTGGAATGCATCACACTTCCAACTTCGTGGTCAGTTTTCGGCGTCATCTCCGAAGGACCCCCCTGTCATCCCCCATAAAAGGAACCGGATTCCGGACCTGGAAGCCAAAATAGGTACTAGGGAGGGTTTTTTTTTTTTTTTTTTGTTGGCAGCAGAGAAACTTCCAAGATATGAGCTTCAGTCCTGCATCACTTTCAAGTTAAGCAACCAAACAGCTAGAAACAACAGTGGTCTGTGCAGGTGCAGTGCAAATGCAGTGCAGATATACCTTTTATATCTATTTAAAAACAGTTTGATATTGTCAAACCTATATTGACTGAAACTTTTCTTTTAACTCAACAATTGCTGAGATAATTATTAATCTTCAGATTTTATTCATTATTTTAAAATCAAAAGTTAATAATATAAAATTATATATAATAAAAATTATAATTATTATAATATTTTAGTTTTACTATATAGTTTATAGTAGCAATTATGCATAATGAAAAAATGAAAACTTTAATATATAAAAATATGAAAAGTAAATAAAATGAATAAAATATATCTGAAAATATTGATTATATTTTTGATAATTATATTATTAATTATATAATAAATAAATAAATATCATTCTATAACTATAATATTTAAATAAAAAATATAAATATAAATATATAATAATATTTATTTTAAATTATATATATATAACTATAATAAAAATTATTATTTAATTATTTTATATATAAATTAATAGTAATTATATTATTTTTAACTTTTATTAAATTATAAAAATTTAACTATAAATAAATTTTATAATATATATTATATATAAAATAAATATTTTATTTAATATTTATTTATTTAAATAATTTTAATATAATTTATATTAAAAAATAATTAATAAATATAATAATATATAATAATTATAAATTAATATATTTAAAAAAATATAAAAAAAGCAAAAAATATATAAATAACAAAAACGCATATTAAGAAAATAATATATATATAAAGCAGAAGAGCAAATGCAGGATCAAACTAATGTATTGAAAATAGAAATGAAATTGAGCTGCAACAGAATCAGAATAAAATAATGAGACTTTGCAGGCAGAAAATTTTGATGAGAAGTCACATGATAGATGAAGCATACACCTAGAGTTCGTTTTGCAATTAACATATATAATATAATATATATACAGTTATTTATAGAGTAATATATATAGAGAGATAGAGTGAATAGAGAGTGATAGAGAGATATGGGAAAGCATAAACCTTTCCAATGATAAGGTTTGTGCGGGGGGTAGAAGCAAACTGGGGTTTTAGGGCGGAGGAGGGGATGGGATTGTGCAAGCCTAGATTCGTCATGCTGATGATAATCGCTGATGCAAAAATTCATACCGACATCCGCTTCGCCATCCTTTAATTGATGCACCAATAGAACACTCCCCTTTGCCCGTGGAAAGCATGTCAAATAGAAATGCTGGGGTCGGCTTAAAGGAGGGGGGGGGGGGAAGGGGAAAGCTTCCTGGGATGCTACCAGGGGAAACGCCGTGCTTGTTGGGAAAGTTTTGATAAAAAGTTAAAATAAACTGACAGGGAATCTCCTCCTTTGATGGTTTTAACGTTTTTACGGTTTCTCCCCTGCTATTCGAGTTCGTTAAACGTATTTTTATTTTGAAACACTTCAAATTATTAGCATAGATATGGTGGAGAACACAGTTTTGAATTGGTAGATTTTTGCAGAACGGAAGTCTTTGGAGAGATTGGGGGGGATGATTCATCGATATATATCACGGAGCTAATCCGTGAACTATATCCATGAGTTTGATGATAAAGCAGCATGCAGGATAGTTTCGGAGGATGAGCCACTCGCTTCCCAAATCCTTTGAGGTTTCATATCAATTGCTGGACATTCTCGGCGTCGTAACTCCCTTTTGTCTTTTTCAGTATGCAAAGTTTTCAAATTCTTCCGCGTCCTTGCAAGGAACGGAAAGCCGTTTGCTGCGACCACAACGGGAAACCGGTGGCGATGTCAGTTTAGTTATTGTCTTGCAATGGGGACAAATTGGTCGTCAAAGCAAGGCGAGAGCTAATTTTGTCATATATCATCTCTGTCTTCCATACTCTCGACCAGAGCTAGGGAAAAAGAATAATATGCACCAAGTAAAAGTATTAGTGAGGTTCCAACGAAATTCTACAATCCAGCTCTACAAATATGACGAAACTTTGGTGGCAAGGCACTTGCGATATGATGATCTTTGACATGCACGCATTAGGAATGAATCATGTGCGGAACTTTTTAAAGAAACCAGGCAAGGAGTTAACATCAGTTACTGAGACTGAGAGGGTGGAAACTGATACAAGTATTCCGTCACGGCAATTAGCACAAATCGATGGCGCATGAAAAAAGTGTCTGTTGTGATGCAACTAACAATTTCAAATCTGCATATACGAATCTGACAAGTTACAAGTAGGTCGGCGGAAGGTAATCCGGGATGCATAGTTTAACTATGGGGGCCAATTGGCGACGGACATTGCCAACCAACACGTTGAGTTTTGTGGGGGAAATCTACGTGATGTCACATGTTTCCCCGAAAAAGGAATTATATTTTCCCCAGAAAAGTAAGATAGATAGATAAATAAAAAAAATAAAATAAAAAAGTAAAATCCGATTCTGAATGTCGGGGGAAGATATGAAAAGAGAAAATTTTCAGAATTCGTGAAAAGCTACAACTCATCACCATTCGAACATGTGGAGGAGACGGAGAACCGGTTATCCACCGAGGTTTTGCGGAATTGGATTGCGATGTTTTAACAATGTACCCTATCTATTCCCTTTCTGTGCAAATGTCTCTCCGCTGCTTGATTCCACGGTTAAGTTTCTTGGGGCCACAGCAGAGTTCCGTTATCTTATTTCCAGCCATTCATGGGGAAAATGGCGAGTCCATTCCGCGGTTTGGTTCAGGAGTACCTTGCTGGGCACGCGCCCAGTCGCCTAACGTGCGGATTGAAAAGGAAATATCAGGAAGCGAGGCAAGCAAAAGCAATATGGAGTCTGAACTACCATTTTATTTATTTATTTTATTTATTATTAAATATTATTTATGTATTTATTTATTCATTTATTTTTATTCCAACAAGCCATACGTTGATCTCCAGATTCACAGCGCGTTAGTCGGAATGCATAGATTGTCGGTGAAGCGAGGGAAGGTTGGAAGGAAAAAGTGGGGCTCCACGCAAAAGATCATACGAGAAATGATGGCGAGGAGCGAGGGATATCTGAACAAGCAGAGGAAAAATAAATAAGTAAATGGAACAAAAGCTGCCAAAGGAAATTGTCCCATGCAACCAAGTCCCTAAACATAAAGAGGGTGAGCGGTCAATTGCTCCGAATTCCCGCATGTCGCCGGATAACGTAGCTATGCGTAACTAGCTACCTCGCAGGCAAAAGTTGACGGGGGAGCGCTGATGAAGGCTGATGATGCAGGATTTGAGCACAATACGATGTCGGATACGGGAGTATTCCTTCCGCTCAATGATACATTCAAATTCATTCATTCTTCATTTCCCCGCGGTCAAACCTGGAAAGAAGCAAAACAAGAAGAGGGAGTTTGTTTGGTTAATATCAATGCCAGACAAAGCTAAGCCGCTGCCTACAGATTTCTCCCCACTTCCACCATCGATCGCATCATTTTAGCTTCTTGTCCTTTTCTTATATCTTTTCTTTTCTTTTCTTTTCTTTTTATTTTTTTTATTTTTGTTTTTATTTTTATTTTATTTTTATTTTTATTTTTATTTTTTTTTTTGGCTGGGTCCGACGGAATGCTCTTTATTCTCTTTTTATTTTTTTTATTTTTATTTTTATTTTTATTTTTATTTTTATTTTTATTTTTTGGCTGGGTCCGACGGAATGCTCTTTATTCTCTTTTTGTTTAATTTATTTTAACTTATTCTATATTTAAAAAGTTTCCAAAAATTGAACAAATACCTGTAGATTACTCTTGCGCAACGCTCTTCTGGGCTCACCCCACCCCCCGGCCCCCCGCCCCGGGGTAAAGGAATGGATGAATCCGTGTATTTTCATTTGTTGAAATAATTTAATTAATTCATATCTTATTAGTTGCCCCCGTAATTTAACGCGCCAGCATTATGGAAATTGGGGAAGAAGAAAAAGGGCATTGTCTCATATCATTGTCTGATAGAAAAACCCAGTTACCCTATTCATTTCGCAGCGCGTTTCGTTTTCGAAGCGCAAAGCTATCACGTAAATGCGTCATGCCGCTAAAAACAAGGTGTAACCGGCTTCCCCAACCTTGGAATTAGGTTAGCGGAAGTGAGGATCCGGAGAAATCTTGGTCCCGCAGTTTTATTTTTTATTTTTTTTTTGTTGTTTATTTTATTTATTAATTTATTTTTGGGATGGGGGGAGGGTGAAGGGAAGAAATCCAGGTTCATCGTCTCCGCTAATAGCATCGCGCAACGGAGAAGAGAGTAAAAAAGCAAAAAGAAAGAAAGAAAGAAAGAAAGAAAGAAAGAAAAAAAGAGAAAATAACAAAAAAAGAGGGAGAAAAAGGGGCGAGAACGTTCTTTGGAGGCGGAGAAAGTTCGGGAGGTTGGATCTTCAGTTACAGGCCCCCATGTCCACGTCCAGTCCACGAGTAAAACTATCTGTACACGTACCTGTAACCAGGCATCATAGCGAAGAGACGTTTCAAAGAATGAGTGGAATACTTTAATTAGGGCTTGGGGATTGATTATTATTGCTGTCGTGATTGTTACATGGTGGAAGGAAAATGGGATTTGCCGGTCAGCTTAGAGTTACATGGCGCTAACTATCTCCCGGAGGCTGATTCAGCCCCACGACTTGATCGGGGAGATAAGCACCAGCTAACATAATTTACCTATTAATTAGCTATCAACTACGGAATACCTGGGATGTTTTGATGGGGAAGATGGCCCAGCGATTGTTTCTAAAAATAGTGGCTAGAAGGCATGAAGGAGACGGGAGCTGCGTTTATCTGTCTACTATCTAATATCTGCGCAGACGTTTTGTTTACCACAACAGGGATACCGACCAAACGAAGCTGTTCGACTACACTAGCTATGGGAACCGGGGGGGCAACGTTGATCGAGCTTTTTATCTCCATGAAGTTCAACTAACC